GAAGAAAGGTTGAGAATTGATTATGGAATCTTAAATCTGAACAAACTATGCATTTCACCGTACGCATTTTGAAAATATACATAAAATTGAAATTCATTTGGTCAGTTCTACTAATTTAGTTGATGTTTACTCCCTAAGTAATTTTTTGAGAGAGCCTAACAGTTTGTGCATAGATTTTAATTAACTATTTTATTGTAATCAATTTCCTATTTTTCTGATTTTATCAGTATAGGGTTGTGGAAATTATTAAGTTTTTGATTAAGATCATGAACCGATTGATGTTAGGCCACCATTGAAAACCTGGAAACACTGAAAGTGTTTCGTCCTATTCTGAGACTCCTCCTCAGTGCTCACCCACTCACTAGTGACTAGCTTCGTGAGAGGATTTTCGGAGTTTTAGTGAGAAGCCACAACCGGTAAAGCTAATCCACTTCGGGTAGTGACAGGTATCTACTTAGTACAATGAAAGATGGTCGGGCAATTTCGCGGATTGGTTGAGGTTAAACATTAACACTGTTCAATTTCGACTCAGTGATCTAGTAGGTTAAGCGTATAACAGCTCACGTGAAATTGAGTTTGTTCACAAATAATTCGATCAAGTCATTTTGTTAACTTAACAACGAACTGAGTCATCCGTACAACAACAACTTATCTATATCATTGTATCTTTATTATTGTTGCTAATGTATGAACATGTATGCTTTAGCATTGCTTACTGCTCACGCATTTATTCATGCTACTAGCCTTACAACTAACCGCTTAATTGATTTGATGATTCATTCATTTCACTATGTATATATATGTCCATGTTATTTATATTCACTGCTCTCGCTCTCGCTCTCTTAATTGTACGCGCTTCCTCGTATTCATATTCACTGACTCACTCGCTTGTTTGCTTACCTTTCGGCACAACTCTTCTATGCTTGTTTACCGCATCTGTAATTTTGGATATCTGTGTGTGATCCCGTAATAAACGTAATCAACGCTTCAAATTCGCCTTCTGATTAACATACCGTTTGGGCGTTATATAGGACGTCATTATATGTGAAAATTATATTTGAAATATTCTCAGCGATTGAAATTTAACTAATTCCAACGTTTCGTCCAGCTAACTTGTCTGGACTTCTTCAGGGTAATAATCAAAATCAAAATTATAATTTTGATAATTTTGATTTTGATTATTACCCTGAAGAAGTCCAGACAAGTTAGCTGGACGAAACGTTGGAATTAGTTAAATTTCAATCGCTGAGAATATTTCAAATATAATTTTCACATATAATGACTTCTCTATACTCGGCGCTCAATTACTGTCAAACTATTCGTTCTAATCTTGACGAATATTCGTATAAAGTTATATAGGACGGTTATCAAGACGAACTGTGTATGAAGTTTAAGGATTATATCGAATACCGGCCACCACAAGCGTTCGCGTGGGTGACTGAAGGCTTTGGTTTGAATCCCGTCGGCGGGATCGTGGATGCGCACCGATGAGTAGTCCCAAAGTAGGACGAAACGGCTGTCCAGTGCTTCCAGATTTCCTGATTTCGTCGAATGTTTTTTCATTCTTATATATTGACGATAACATTTTTATTGATTCTGAGAATAATTTTTTTTAAACATGATTGAATTTATTGTTTTGTCAATAAATTTTTATAGTTGCCAGTATCTTTTGACATTAGAAAATATAAATAAGTAACTATAATCTAGGGTAATGTAAATCAATTGTGAAATAATTGGAAAATATTGACAAATTATTCGACTTAGTTTTCTTTGTTTATTTTTTCCATCATCTGAAAGAGAATTTTACTGTTAACACATAAATGTTATAAAGAACATTTATATAAATGGATATATTCCAGCTTTTCACTACTGTTTAAGAAAGCAGTTCATTAATAGAAAAGACTAGATATTCTAAAACTGTTACAATTTCTTTTTTTCATATTATATTTTATTATTAGAGAGGGGTTTTGTGGATTGGTTGAAGTTAGACATTACTACTGTTAGATGCCGACTATCTCAGTGATCTAAAGTTTAAGCGCTCGTGTGCGAGATTGTTAGGTCCTGAGTTTGAATCTCGCGGGACAGGATCGTAGATGTACATTACTGAGGAATCCCATATTAGGACGAAATGATCGTCCAGTACTTCTAGGTTTCCAATAGTGTTCTAGCTTCAAATGACTCATGAATTTATTTATTACATATGCTATTCATGATTAGTAAATGATTTAGTTTAATCCAATGAGTAGGTTAGAGTTAAGTATAGGACTTTTGGTTAAAATACTAACTAATCTCATTTTATATTGAATTTGAGTATATTTTTCATAACAAAATAACATCAACTGAAAACTATCTTTACTCATAGAAAACTTAATATTCATCTGATATGAGTTCGAGACTTTTATGAAGGATACACACCCATGACAACACACACCTACGGCCTGATACCAGAAAAATCTATACAGTGAGACTGAGAACAACCTAATAGGTAGACATAATGTGAAGCATATAATTATCTTACCAGTCAACACTCCAAATATGTGAATATCATATCGAGTAATTCCGTTTGACAAATAATCCACATACGTTTTAATGAACAAACCAACCAAAGTGAAAGTTCAATACTATATAGATGTACTATATATATATATCGTTGCCTGTTTATTAAATGTCTTTAGGTGTAAAATAAAATTGCTTTGATGTCGTGTTCTTTTTATTTCTGACTTATGAAACTGTTATGTTAAATTACTCATTTTCTCCCCCATAAATTGAATATCATTCTTTGTTATATACACTAGGAATTATTTTCTTAAATCAAACATTTCTAAGTCCCGTTCTTAATGAAGTAAAATTTATATCACAAATAAGCTTTAGCTTGACAACCACTGGTAAACAATTAGAACAAGATAATAGTTTCATCCTATTCCCATGTATTAAAGATCTTACAAGAATAACAAAATGAAAATTTTTACATCATGTGAAGATCATACCTTCTGAGCAATCATTATACTGTCGAAGTAAAGTCATTCTTAAATATTGGTCTTTCATTCTCAATGATTACCTAAATAAAATTTGTTCATGCCTACATTAAACTAATCAATAATCTGTAAAGTTATCAAATTCACTTTGTAGCATTACGAAACATGAAGATAGAGAAGTTTTCTTTGTATAATTTATTAGCCTTAACGGAAGATAGTGATATTTGAATATTACCATACGATCTGTTAAAATCTACTTCCATACTAAATAGTCAACATTTCCATGATGTACTGTGAAGTAATGGTGATCGATATTAACTTGATATCTCCAATTAGAAATTGGTGACAACATGAATTTATTTAAGATATTTAGAGCTGTATTGTGACAACTTAATATTTTATATCTAAAATATATATTAAGTGAACAATATCTATTACAGAAAGTTTCATCTTTGTGGTTCACTTGAGTACCTGTTACTAAACTCGGCTTTGAATCACATTGTCTTTACGTTAGTGACAATTAACCTATCTGGCTATCTAGGTAAAAGTAAGTTTGGTGTAACCGGAATTACAAACAAGGAATTAGAAGCTACCTACCCTAAATATTAATAAAAAAAATTATTAATAACCAGAACTTCGACTAGTCCATCATACAGCTTAAATTCTAGATCCGATTACTGTAATTCTTTACTAATTCATCACAGTGTAAGCTTAATCCTAATAGTTCAATTTTACTATTCCATAAATGGTGATCTTAATCTCATCATGCAATTCATACATTTCATTTATTTAGTCATTTCCCTTAATTTTATTCCAACATTAATGTCATTTATTTGGTATACATTTTCCGGAGCGCTGTTTAACTTAAACATTTTTATTTAATTTTTGTACATTTCTAATTCTTTAATACTTAAAGCTACTACTACTTAAAGCTATACTTTCTAATAATGAACACATGAAAGTACTGTGTCAGGCATGATATTAACAAAAAGGAATAAAGAAAAATTGTTCTGTAATCGATAATCAATTTGTACAAACCGTTATCTTAGTTTGTTTCTTTTTATTTTCCATCTGACAAAAAAAAATTTCATAAAAAAGACATGTTAATGAAAATTTCTATTTTCCATTTTTTTTGTTTTCCTGTTTCTTAGTCATATGCATAGATTAAATAATTTTATTACTAAGGTGGGATGGACAGAAGTAGTTTTATATTAAAACTTTTAATAATCATTAAAAGATTTCTATAGAAAATCAAATACCACAGTCTATGTGTGTATATGTGTGTGTGTGTGTCGTGCTCCCACACAGAGAGAGATTTGATTTAAAGATAAAGATCAAGATCATTAGAAAAATATTACAACTATGATGGTAAATATGATATCTGCTAAAAAGATGAGACATAACATTATAATATATATAACCCATAACGAGTAACCATTCAGAATGCAGACAAAATTTCCAGTTTCTTATATATATATGTATTGACCAATGAAATTGTAGTAATTGAAGGGCTTATTCATCTAACCAATAGGAAAACAGTATGAGGATAATTGTAATCTGTACTGTGAATAATCGTTAAGAATTATTTAAACAATTATTATCTCTATGATCATATACTAAATAACTTTAATTATTTTTGTTGTTGTTGTCAAGGCTCAACTACTACACATAAATCAACATATATTCATTTGAAATTATATACTGAATCATTGAAATCATTATCAAATTTAAAGAAAACTAATAGTTTGATCCCATTTGATCCACAACATATTTTATATGAAAAAGATTTAATTCTATTAAATGATCAATTTGATTTCATTACAAACTATTCTAATAAAAAGAAAGAAATATCATTTCAAATTCAATTGAATATTGAATATATTCAATTTCCAATTGTATCTACTCATTTATTTCAATCAATATTATTAATAATTCATATTAAAGATTGTTTTACTGATTATTTATTAAGTACATTATTGAATGCACAAAACAATATTCCATTGTCAAAATCCATAAATACTTATCAGAATAATACGATTATGTTAAAAGAATCTTTACCAAATCATATAGACTCATTAAGTGCTGATAAAATGCATTTACCATTTGTGATTACATGTTTAATTATTGGTCTTTCTTATATTATACTTTTAACGATATATACCATTTTAAAAATATGTCAAGGATCTAATAAATTCCATACAGACAATCTTATTCATAATTCAACAAATTATATGTCAAATAATGAAGCACAACAAAAACATTATTCATCATTTTCAGCTTATTCTACAACTTTATTAAATAATTATCATAGGACAAGTTCACAATCTCAATTAGCTCGTTTAACATGTCCTCAAAAAGTTTGTATCATGATGTATTTATGTTTTCGGGTATTTTATACTTTTCTGTTCACTATCAGTGTTGGATTATCATTTATTTTAAGTATTGAAACTGATGCTACTGTGGAGTTTACTTCAGCAGTATATAATAATCATTTTATTACAATGAATTCATTTAATAATTATAATGAAAATATTGGTAGTAGATTAATTCTGCCATCAGTGATGAATACAATGACATTGACAACGGATATAGGCAACAGATGGCGTGGAGCTAAAGTATGGGTATTAGAAGCTGCTAGAATGGAGGATTTTTCTCAAACTGAATTATTAAGACAGGTAAGTATAATACTGGCGAATATTTCATTGATAACTTTATGTTTATATTTGCTTAATAGTGAATGTGACTTTTGATCGAATTGGCTTCGTGATAATAAATTAACAAATAGTAATATCAACCAATGCTTAATATTCAGACTACTTTGCTTTATACCTTTATTTCTTCGAACTTATTCTTTCCTAGTGTATTGTATCTTTATACACAATCTTTCTTTTATATAATACTACCATTAAATTAACTACTTCTATGAATTTCGTGTTCATCTTGTTGTGTTAATGAGGTGTGGCAACTTGGACCGATTCATATATGTGCCTGGTCGTAAGTTGTAGCTGACTGAATGACAGGCTGAGATTATTTTGCTCAAAGTATAAATTTGTCCTTGTATATTTTCATCAAGGTTAATTACCATAGCTTTTGATAAGTTTACTTTTCATAAAATGGTGAGACTGTAATTTATAGACCGACTAATCACGTATAAGATTATAGTTCCCGGATTTTGGCGCGAAATTCACTCATCCATTTGGATAAATAGATTTTTGGCATTATAGCTGATGTCACTTCATGATGAAAACTGTAAATTATAATTCTAATTCCTCACACAGGTTTGTAACCCTCATATGGTCCTGGTTATTAAGTGGACACTGTCAAGGTTCGTCGAGCGTCGCTCAAAGGTCATCCACAAATTCTAGTATCACCAATAAATTTGTATTATACTAATGTTTATTTTACTGTTTATAACACACAAGTTACATTGGAAATCATTTTATATTTCATAGTAATATGATTCAGTATGATGATATTTTTCTTATGAATACTAGGCTTTTGAAATTCAGTTTCATTTCTCGAGAGAATTAAAGATTATATATCCTCATTTAATGTTTATCAACTCTTATTATGCTAAACTATTCATTTGGTTGAGAACTGAACTACTAGTTCGATTTGAAATCTGCTATAAATTATATATTAATTACGAGATGTCTTTTTAACTTATTATTATTATTATTATTATTATTATTCAAAACGTGAATGGTTTTAGATGGTCGCCGATATGAGAGCATCAGTTTTTGATTAACGTGCTTTCATATTTAGAGTCATTGGATTATCGAAATTTCAGCATAGGAAATCTTTTATATGAAAACAAACGAACATTTATCTAATCGTAGCAAAGTTAGTATGAATTTCTGTTTTGAGTTTGTAAAAAAATGTTTTATTAAGGTACCGGGTTTTAAAATACAATTAATATTATAGAGGAGGGAAGTATGGTTACTTTATTATACCCTAATGCATATCCAGTGTGTGGGTATTTCTTTCGAAGGTTGGTGCAAAGTCAGTTTTGCGAAGAATCATTGTTGTTATTTGTAATGTTTTAGGTTATTTTAAGTTCAGCTATAAATGTTGTATACTCTGATGAAATGTAATTTAAGTGCTACTACACAATCTTTAGATGATCCGAAATTGAGGCTATAAACTGATTTTGTGGATAGTCTATAGCTATAAAATTACATAAAGTGTAGCTAAGTACCGTTTCTGACTAAGTAGGTGTATAAAATATAATCTTGATCTCTGTTAATAATCACATTGCCTTATCAGTATTAATAAAAAGAATCAGACTAACATTTCTTAAAATCTAACTGACATAAATTTTGGTACAAGGTGTTTCTAAACATGCTATAAATATTTCAATATTTCACATAAAATAAGATTGATCCACCAAAGAGTTCCCTTTTCGGCGAATTCATTTTCAAAGCTGTACAATCACAAATATATAAACTTATTTTTCTGAATAATAATAATTAAGCATGGTAACGATGTGGTAGAATAAAGAAAGGTATTAAAAAATCTTTTTGAACGAGAAAACTAATGATCATCTTATTGTTAAGGGCTTGAATTCTCATCATAAAGATAGATAAGGAAATTATCATGGGGAAAGGATGGCTTAGCATGATACGATAAAATGTTGAAATTGAGATCAAATGTAATCAGAATGATCAGAGAAACAGAAATAAACAAGTTAGGGGTAGAAGGTTTAAAGAGGAGATAGAAGAGGAATTAGATGGCTGTAAAGGAAGAAGAATATGAAGAAAAAATGCTATAGACATTAAAACCATGATAGAAGAAGAGGTTGTACCAATCCCTTTTACATACATAATACAGGTCCTCCCATATGTATGGTTATTGCTTCGGCAATATTAAGAAGATGCAATATAACTGCCTGTTGAAGACTTCCACTTACCTAGTAGATGACTTAAAACTCAGAGTCCGTCTTGATTGAGTGACCTGTTTTCACAAGGTGTTCGATTATTGAACTTCTTATTGCGCCATTTCTTAGACATGCCAGGTAATGTTGTTGAATTCTTTTTGAATGATCTATATAAAACTGAACAAGTAATATTAAATTCTTGAAATAGATAAATTGTTTAAATTTGAATGGTCTAGATATTTAAACGTTTCTAATTCTCTATTCTGATATTCCTCATCTATTTTAAATACACTGATTGAAATCATGAGTCAATTGAAGCTAGATCACCATGGAAAACCTGTAAGTACTGAACGGCCGTCTCGTCCCAGTATGGGACTCCTCAGCAGTGCGCATCCACGACTCCACCCCGCGGGATTCAAACCCAGGACCTATTTCAAATACTTCAAAACAATTAAGATTTATATAAACAAATATTCTAATTAAGCAAAGATGGATAGTGGCTAGCAGTGGAATCCAGGACGCGCGTTTCGTCCTGTTTGGAGTCGTCAGCTGGATGTACCTGCATCTCAGAGTTGATGTTTACTCTGGGACTCGAACTCAGTACCGTTCAACCCATTGCACAAGCAAGTAACTATCAGGACTCAGTAGCTAAGTGGATAACGCGATGGCGTTTGAAGCGAACGGTACTGAGTTCGAGTCCCAGAGTGAACATCAACTCTGAGATGCAGGTACATCCAGCTGACGAGTCCCAAACAGGATGAAACGCGCGTCCTGGATTCCACTGCTAGTCACTATCCATCTTTGCTTATAATGCTTGTAAATTAAGGCAATATCGAGGCATACGCACAGTATGCACATATACCAATAAGAGACTGATCAATTTCAGTCCAAAAACATCAATGGGAAGATTCAAGTAAAACAATATCAAGTGAAATATTCTAATTTGTTAAAATAGGCGATTCATTTTAAATAATAATAACTAAAACTTTTGTAAAATGGCTTACCACCTCCTAGGTTACACTTATATGCATAGTTAATATGTTCATTCAAGCATCAATTTGTATTTATTTGAATTATTGATGATTATTTAATATTAGAGCTAATGAAATAACAAATATGTGATACATCTGTTATGTTCGTTAACTTGAATGCTAATACTGATTCGTCTTACTCGGAACGGAACGAAGAATCAAGGATTCAGAGACTCGATAGGCTATACTGGTCCGTTGTCCCCGACTCAGCTAACTCGATCCAGACGTCTTGGTAAGATGTAGAAAGTCTATTCTACAGACAACCAGAAGATACCATTTCCATCAAGCACAAAAATCAAGCGTATTTATACAAAATATATAATCGATATTGCCATAGAAGTTTTTAAACATTTAGTCGATAAGTTTGTCAATCGACTATGTGAGTGGTTGGTAAGAAATGCCCAAGCATACATCTGCATACAAGCTCCACAAAGATAAAATTGCAAACTGTGAGTTTTGGGGATCTAATGTCCCCAACAACATCCTAAAAATTAAAAATAAGAAAAAATAGAAACCTAGCAGTAAATTAATTTTTCTATCCTCAAATGAGTTTTGCTTAGTTTTGTCTTTCTTCAATGACCACAACAACAAGATAATCTAATGTTTTTTCATTTGTTTATTCATTGTATCAAGTATTTAGAAGAAAAAAATTTACTCGTCATTTTAAAAAAGTTATTAATTGTTATGTTTATTGTTGTTATTATTATTAGTGTTACCATAGTTCTGAGTAAACATGCACACAAAACTACATTTTTTAAGATGTCGACTACGTATATATGTATGTTATTGAATGCTAGTAGCCATATAATTGAAATTAATCCAACATGCAACCAATTTGTTGAATTATTAATGCATAGAAATGGGTTTTTTGTTGTTGTGGTCATATTTTCTATCGTATACCTACTTGTATTACCTCATAGTTTGCTGGTGGGATTATTGAGTTATCGTAATAAAATTAAGTAATAATAATAACAATACCAGGATTATTATTCTGGATATGTTTAGGGGTAAAAACAATAATAAAACTATAGTTAATTTTTTTTAATAGTTGAATTGATGAGTCTATGTAAGCTTGACAACCATTAAAAACTTGGAAGCACTTGAAGCCGTGACCACTAGAGTCTGATCCATGCCAGTTGGAGCCAGGTATCTACCTCAGACAATGGATGAATAGTTGCTCGATATCATGGATTGACCAAAGTTAGACATTAACAAAGTTCGATGCCAACTCAGTGGTCTAAAAGTTGAGCATTCGCGCGCGAGATCGAAGGTCCTGTGTTCGAATCTTACGGGTCGAGATTGTGGGTGCGTACTACTGAGGAGTCCCATACTAGGAAGAAATGGCGTCTGGTGCTCCCAGGTTTTCACGGATGATCAGGCTTAAGTAGACTCATGAACTCAAATATTCACATTACTACAATCTCCACAAACTCCCATTCTTATAATAATTAATGTGTCATTTATTATATTTGTAACTATATAAACGCTTGTTAAGTTATTGTTTATCCTGGGTCATATTTATCATTTGTTGCTGATTATTTCTTATTCAGAGAATTATAGACACCGAACATCAAACTTTACTTGTTCTTTCGTCTATAATGAGTGAATGAGTTTGTATTGAACTTGACAAATTAAAACGTGACACTTCAAGTATGATGTGTGACTGTAAAAAGAAACAGAATTAATATCATATTTCCAACATTCTGATTTATATAACCTATTGAATGATTTCAGTGTTAACCTTCTCGTTCATTTCTAACCATGTTTG